TAATCTTGTCTACTTTGAACAGATAGTTTCTGATTTAAAACAAAACACTACAAACGTTATTAATTGGATTAAAAAAAAAGAAACACTGAAAAACATTATGTTTTAAGAACTGTAAGGTATCAAAAAAGTATAATTTTTATATATCCTGCTTCTTCTCCTGAACATTCTTAGTTAAACTAACAATATTTTACAGTCATGGACGAAAGTATTGGCACCCGTGGAAAAATGCACCATTTCTCCCAGAAAAATGTTGCACATGTTTATTTCCTTTAAGTGCATTGGGACAACAGAAATAATCAGGAGAAAAAAGCCAAATTTGACATCATTTTACACAAAACTCCAAAAATCGACTGGACAATATCATTCCAGGGGTGCCAATACTTTCGTCCATGACTGCACATCATTCTAATGTCCTTATTACCAACACTACTAATAATCTATTCATCTACAGCCTCATGACCATTATCTGATCCAGCAGTTCAGAAAAACCACACTCTCTCCCTCATCACTTTCCTCTTCTTACTTACATTGTTGAGATAGTCTTCTCCCCTCTGGGGGGAAAAGCGGCCGATCTTCTCTAGGACTGGAGAAGATCAAGTTCACCTCATTATTAACCTACACACCCCCTATGACCTCTGCAGCACCCACCCACTAGGCAGCAACATGTGCATCTCATTGTAGGAGGACTCATTGGCCCCCCTTTCACCCCCGGCCTGCCTTGGCTGGCTTTTGGAGATCGAGAGCTGATTTATGGGGCTAACAGATTGGTCCCAAGTGACTTGGATGCTTTGCAAAATGTGATGCATGACTAAGGGTTGGCACAAGTGTTTCTTGCATGATTGATGAGCAGGTCGAGTTAGTTAGTTAGTTAAGCATTATTTATTTAGGAAATCTCACTGAGATCAAGTTCCCTTTTGCAAGATCACACAACATTATTAGAAATATAAGATAACTTCAAGATGTGTTGCAGGTCACTAAGGTGCATAGTATCAGAAACCAGTCTTCCCCAATTCAGAACTGTGATCTAGTGTCCTGGTTACTAGGTCCGACCTCAACTAAGGATGCAAAATATCTCTGCAGCTTAGATATCATGAAGACACAGGTATGCTGATGCGTCCAAGATGCTAGTGATGACAATCCAATCTTTTCATATAACTCAAAGTGAGTGAATATTCACTGTGAGTGAATGCTAATGACATACAGAATGTGATCATCAGCATAAAAATGAGCATTACAGTGCTGAGGTGAAAAAATGAATCTTACTACATACATAGTAAATAGCAGTGGGCCTAATATTGATAATTGAGGGACTTTTATCAACTATTTAGGGACTTGATTTCAAAACCATCTATAACAACAGTTTAAACTCTATCAGAGAAATTATTTGAACCAGTTGTAAGCAGAAACATCAAAACCCACAGAAGGCATGTTATTTAACAAAATGTTGTGATCAACAATATCAAAAGCCCTGAACAGATCTACAAAGAGTGCACCATAGTGTTGCTTTTTATTAAGGGAGTTAACAATGTCATCCACAACAGCTGTTGCAGCAGTTATTGTGCCATTACAAGGTCTAAAGCCTGACTGCTGCATTATTATCTTCCAGGAAGCCACAATTCAAAAGTGATGCAGGGGTAACAATTCTACTGAGGAGCAGGATCCGTGGTCAAAATTATGCTCACCATAAGACTTTCTTATGTTTACATTTATTAACGCATTATATACCTCTGAGAATGTCTGAGTGAAACTATATAAAGCGAGGACCAGGAAGGGGACAATTTTTGATATTGGAGTTTTGTCTTGACAGTGTGTATGCACAGGATTTCAAACATGTCACGAGATGCAATCAAATGGTTATTAAAAGCTTCAACCATGTCACTGTTTTTAATAATGGGCATGTTTCAATGTTTATAACTGTGGGAGCAATGTGGAGGAGGATTTTTACCAGTATCTAGAATTCAGTTCCATTACCATTGCTCTTTGAGAAGACAGATGCATAATCAGATTTTGCTTTTCTTATGAAGGTGATGCCGCAGTTCCTTTGCTGTCTGAAGTTCTGCCAGTCAGTGTTTGTGCCAGAAGCTCTTGCAATGGACCAAAGTTTATTTCTATTAAGTATGGCTAGAGCAAGTTCAGGAGAAAACTAGGGCTTTGATTTATTTTTTATTCTAAATGTTTTGTAAGGAGGACTATGACTATCAGCAGTGAGGGTAAAACATTAGAAAAATAATGTAGCACAGAGTCTGGATCTTGAATAGAACATGCTATTCCGATGTGAGAGTGATATAAATTGGTGAGGAAATCTTGTGTATTCAAGTGTTTTAAATGTCTCTTTTAAACACATTTTGACATTGGATTTTCATTTCTTTTGATGCTCATCAATTAATGTAGATTTATTACGATTTTTCAAGCACTGTTGGATATCAGCTGAGATAAGTTTCATTCAAGACAGATATCTTTTAGCTTTGCTTTGCTTGCTGGATAAACAGTTAAAGACACCTATAATAAGCAATTCAGAGGATTCATAAAATTGCCCTAAGTTCATCATTTCCTCCAGGGTTTCACTAGCTGCTGAGAGGGCACAATAAATGCCACTGACAGTGAATTGAGCACCCCACAAACACAGATATCCAAAGTAACATAAGCAGATTTCTTAAGCATTGATGACAAGTTGAGAAGATGTACATTTGAAACAGTTCTTTACATAAATTGGTACACTGTAACTTATGTAACTAGTACTAGGCGTAACCCTTTATTGGATACACAAACCATTTATGTACTTATGTACTTATATATATATATACGTAAGTACATAAAGAAAGCATATATATACACACATATATATATACATATATACATACTATCAAAATATTGTTCTTAGTAATGTACTGACATTTTCAACAGTAACACAAAATGTAATATAACCTCAAATATAACCCTTTGATTAAAAAATGTGTCAAGTCAATTTTATTTATATAGCCCAATATCACAAAGGGGCTCTCAAGCGGCTTTACAATCTGTACAGCATACAGGCTATTGATAATGTGTACGGTGCACAAACCCAAATATAATCAGGAATACATGTTCCCTTTTAAACATGTTTCCTCATTGACACATTTATTCCTCATTGGACCTGTATGGAAGATTTGTTTTATTGCATATTAAATTGTGAAAAATTATTATCTGGGGTTAACCGATCATGTGAGCGCATATTAGCTATTATAATGTGTAGACTCATTTGATCATTTGACATGGAACACACTTCTCCTCCTTGACAAACTTACAATACTTATCCACAATGGTGAGGGTAATAATGCACCGTAAAGTCATGTTGAAGTCAGTCTTTCTTTGGTATACTGGAAGTGTTGGAAAAATAAAATGTGAATTTCCCCTTGGGGATGAATAAAGTATCTATCATCATCATCATCATCATTTAATTAAAGTTAAATTCATCATGTAATTTACACAATCAGCATCCAAGCTCCTCACTTCTAGATTCACTTCTTTTTGACTGTTACATATTTAATTTTTTAAACAAATGACATGCAAGGTTTTATGTGGACCATTCTGGGTGGTGTTTCTTAAGCCCCGACATGTTTAGTGTTGGAGCACAACAGATGAGATACAAAACAGAAGGACAGAGGGCCAACAGTTCCATAAAAAAATAAATATGCAAAAAGAACAAAAAGTACAGGGCACTGTACAAAACACACACAGGCACACACACACACAACAGATTCTCTCTTTCTCACTTACTCACTCTCTTTTTCACTCTCTTTGTCATCCAGTTTCAGTGCTAGCGAGAGAGCTGGCATCCACTAGGGCTGGGAGATGTTCTAAGACCTCTTCTTACTTTGTGCCAGCTCTGCTATACCCTAGTGGGTGTGCGTTTAAGTTTCCCCATCTGCTTCTGTTCACATTATCTAGCTCCAGGGCAGGCACCTTGTCTAAAATACACACATGCACTTACGCACAGACACACACACACACACACTAAGAGTTTCATCTTTGTGCTGATGACGCAGTTTTACAGTTGTGTGAAGCCCACACACACAGCATAGCAGGGGTGTTTTTTTATCTTTACCTTCCTTTTCTTTCTCGACAGAACAGGCGAAATCAAGAGGAAGTGCTGGCCTCTGGAGAGCGGAGGCCGCTAACTTCCTCTGAGCGTTGTGATCACTGGCTGCTCATCCCTGGAGGTTAAATCAGCGGTGGAGCTCGGAGGACTTAGGGGAGCAAACATCACTAGCGATTCTGCTGTGAACGAGGGGCCAAATTTGCATCACAGTTCTCAGTTTTTTTTTTTAAATATCTCCTCAATCAAATTTTATTCTTCAGTATGGGGTTATGGCTTTCCAGGTACGGGCAAACAAAATAAAAGCTATAGATGCTTAATATTCTTAAAGGACATTGATTATGATTAGAGAAGATTTGAAAAATAAAGGAAGTGATTAATGTATGAGAATGGTGTGGATGCCCAAAGTGATTTGCCATGTCAAAATATAAATTAAAACCTAACACAGGAGCTATGTGACTGAGGAAGGGTTACAATGAGAAAGGGAAAAAAGAGGCCTGCCAGTGTCCCCCCCCCTCCCCAAGAGCCATGTGTGGCTATCCTCTCTCTTTCTCTGCTATGACTGGTGCCATAAAAACCTGATTGAGCTGTCTGCTCAAGGGGTCAGAGGTCAAACTCATCCTGTCAGAAGCAGGCTGGTGGTGAGCCACAGGGAGGGGTTAGGGGGCTGTGACCTGTTGATTGTCGAAGGTATGATGGACTGGGAAGAGGGGGCACAGGGAGGCTGTGGTGTGCGGCTCCCATGAACTATGAAGAAAATCAGTGGCGACAAGAGGTGACTCAGGGTGGCTGGGCAATTCTGTCACCACCTGACGCTCTTTTCTAAAAACTGGGGAGGAAAAGAGAAGGTTAAAAAGGAAAAGAGAGAGTAAAAATATGTCCAACAGGGGCCTGTTCTTCTAAGAATATTTTAGTTCAAAGACTTAGTCAGACATCACTCAGAGTTATTTGAAAATACATCAGTGGAAGTTAAATATAAAAGCACCATGAGGTACCTGGCACAATTGCATAGCTATTACGTAACAGACTAAAATTCATGAAATGATTTGGACCATTTCTGGAAGCATCATCTTAATAGATGTATGCATGCAAGCTATTTTCCACCTCTGCTAACAAAAGCAGGGCAAGGGCCACTGGGCCTGTGAGCACAGCAGACAGTCAGTGATGACCCCTTCTTTACTGTATATCTGTGTGAAAACTAACAAACCCTGACAGCCATGCAGTGCCATCAAACAAACGATCATTTCCCGTTTAAAAAGGAGTACCTTCACATGCTTAGTTATCGTGTTTCTTTCAGGTCCTTAAACCTTGTCTGGGCCCCCATGTTTTATGGCCAATAAGATGTTGTGTATGCCAGTATGCCTGCCTCCCCTCTCCCTTATTGCTTTATGTTTGCTTATCTGTTTGCCTTTATTTATTCATATCTACGTTTTGGGCGCTCCTTTCTTGCCTCTTGATATTTGTCAATATGGGCTTGACCTCAACGGGCCAAGTCTCTCCTCTGAAGTGGGAGCTGGCGATAGCCTTGAAAACAGACCTTTAAATTAAACGAGGGAGAACACAGATTGTTGTATAATTCATCTGGACCCCCCGCCGAGGATCCTCTGTGCAGTCGTGTTACTGTCTAGATTAGAATTTCCTTTTGTTGCTGCCTGTTTGTGTAATACACAATGTGGATCCTGCCAGGGCCCAGTAAATTACCTCTTTAAACATTCATTTGCCTTAACCAAGAGGAAGGGGGAGAGGGAGCGGAGGGGAGAAAGGAAAAAACCTCTTGATTTCACATACAATGAATAAGTTAATAAAAAGATTTTTCCCCTCTCCTGCGCACGCATTTTTTTCCCCTCCACACTCGAAATCATCCTTACCAAATCAAAAAGTAAGAGAGAAAGAGGAAGGGAGGTAGGAAGAAAGAAAGAGGGAGAACTAGAGTGAGACAGAGAATGTCTGCGTATGCAGAAGTACAACAACAACAAGAAAGAGGAGAGGAGTGAAGCCGATTGGAGAGGAGAGAGGAAGCAAGACAGAGAGAGACAGAGAGACAGAGAGAAAGAACCACATGAGCTCTTGGAATGATGTGCCTCATAGTCCCCGCTTGCGTATCCCAAAATACCTGGTGCTGGAAATGTGAAAGCCAGGCGCACGACGGACGCCATTCCCCAGAGAGGCTCCGCTGGTATCATTAGCGAGGGAAACGGCGGGCTCAAGTGGCGTACAAACTTCAGCAAAACGTCAAGCGAGAGAAATGTGCACGCATTGCGCCTCTTTTTTTTTCCTCCCCTCTTTCCCCCCTTTTTTCTCACTCTCCCTCTCTCTTTTTTCTTTCTTTGTGTTGTGTTTCAGATACGACACCACTCTTCTACCAAATTAATATTTCTCAAAATAAAAGCCAGGACAACTTTAAACTAGCGAGGGGAAGAAAGGGGAGGGAAGAAAAGAGAGACGGGGTAGAGAGAGAGGGAGAATTTGGTTCAGTTTGCGCGCCTCCTGTGAAGTGGAGTCTCTGTCTTCTTGCTCACCTCATTTTGAGGTCTGTGGTTTTGTCTTCTCCGTCTCGGAGTCAGCTCCATCTAACTGATGAGGTCGTCACAACTGCTTATGAATGCCAAATGAGGGAACACAGCGAGCATCCGCACTAGCAGAGGGACATTTACATACAGTTTGTGTCACAAGCAAAAAATCCTCCTCGACCTGGACAAAGTATTTTTTAACGTTACCGGACTGTTCTGCCATTTTGAGCACAAAAGCACAAAAACAAAAGCATGTGCCAACCTAGCCTACAATCACACTTACTGTGTTTGTTTGCTTATGCTGTGTTCTCAGTTATAGCCCTCCACTTTCTGAGGCACAAACTTAGCAGATTTCCATTTAATGGTGAAGAAATAAAAGTGTTCTTCTGTCATGTGAAATATTTACTCATACCAACACATTCAGAACAGTTGAGTCACTTACAATTGCTCCTTAAATGAGATCCCGGTGGCTCACTTCTCACAGAGCCGTTGGGATGGCACGGCTACAGTCCACAACTGTAATCAAGAGGGACAGCGAGCGCCCTTTGACGATTGGCTGGCGAGTGGAGCCAAATATGTCTTTTCTACGTGGTGCAGTCTGTCGCAGACGTAATTACAAGTTAGATCTAAATAAACAAACAGCTGCTGCCTGACCGCCCCTTCAGGAGCTGTTTGGTGGCTGCTGCTGGAGATGTCTGCTTGCTTTGCTGCAGCGTTCAAGCACAATCACAGAAGAGTGCACACAGGCATGTTCTATATAGAGTGCAGTACACACAGAGCACAACAACTAACCCTGTTATCATGCAAGACCTCACATGCACTGCATACTTCCTAATGACAACTCTAGTAAGAGGATAAACATACATAACGCATACATTCAGACACACGACATATAATTTTAGCTGCAACAGGCCTACAGACGTGAAAGAGAATTTTTCTGTCTGATAAAAAAAAAGAAGGCACAAATACGGAGAAATTGTTGGGCAAACTAACAATTAGCCCTTTATTTTAATTGGAACATTTCAAAGTGAATCAGTGGGCCACTGAGGCTAACCAAAAGTACTGAGTGGTGCTAAACTTGGAGTGTGTAGGGCCATTTTTCACCACTCCTATTTTAGAAGAGCGCGACAAAGAGGGAAATATAGAAGTCAGCAGAGGTGGGAAGAGAAGTGTACTCTATGATATATACAGAATCCGACAGAGCAATCCTCTGCCACCTCAACAAAACATATCTGTGGTACGCCACTACAAAACCAGACAGGATACGAAACATCTGTCTCCCTCTAAGGAAAATTACAGGTGGTGGATGATTTAATCTGTGTGCTGTGTACTTCAGTGCTTTTGTGGCCAGCAGATAACATGGAGTTAGATGGTCACTAACAGCTGCCACTGTTTAAATTAGCCCAATACTTAAACTGCTAGAATCTATGGTAATAAGTTCAGTCAACAGGCTACTAGATAATGTCATCTACAAATATGATTTGGTGAGATATCAGATAAAAAGTCTACATTTCTGTATAATATTCTACAAAAACTGATCTTATTTTTTTGCAAAATTACTACTAAATTGATAAACAATTATCAGAAAACTAAAAAACTGCTGTGATATTTATGTTTGGATGTTTTTTGTGATGGGGGTCTGTTGTTAAGCTTACATAAATTACTTGGGTTGGGGTCAATTACTTTTGGGTTATAATAAGATTTTGGTAATATTTTTAGTTACATGCAGATAAATCAGTCTGATAAAATATTTTTTCATGCAATGGAATGATAGATATTTAAGCACAAATTAATTTCTCTTAACTCACATATTAAAATATAATATAATTAATATAATTATATTATCAGTGTTTGAATGATAAAAATACTTTAATTAAAATGCCATTTTAAAAGGAAATAATGTACTTTGTAAGTGATTTCATTGCATTTATGATGCAAACTAATTGAAGTTAGTAATGTAAAATTAGAAAGAAACTAGGATGTGACAATAAATATATATATATATTTTTTTTAATATAACAACCAAACCTTGCTGCCACACATTAGCTAACCTCAAGTTAATTACACTGGGAAATCAGACTGAATCACTGACACTGCGGGTCATGTTCACCGTGCATTTCAAAGCAAAATTAAGAAAAATCAGATCCCTGGAAATCACAATTATCTAGACTAAAGACAAAACCATGCCGCTAGGCTAGCTGCAGCTAACAGGTAAGCTAACATGTGACTCTCTCACCAATTACAGCTGTTGGAGGAAAAGAGACAAACTGGCTGTAAAGGAAGCTACTGCTGCTCAGTTAATCCAGATGCCTTCCGGTAGAAGTTGCTTGAAAATGTCTTTTGGGAAATGCAGACACTGCAGATGTGAATTCTTAAGTCTGCTGTCATCTAAAACGTGCTGTTGAGAAAGTTTTTTGTGACATATTATCAATGTTTGGATAATTGGCTAATAGGCAGGAACTGGTAAAGTGGGCAGTTGGTATGATTATGTTAATATAGCAAGATTTGATTACAATTCTACCACATTGAGGCTTTATAATGGCTTCTGGCGACTAATTTTGTTCCCCAATCCTTTCCAACAGAACGACAAAATATGTAAGAATCTGGAGAGAGCAACAAGCAACAACATCTGAAATCTTAACATGTAAGATATGTGTTTATGTGTGTCAAACTGCTGTTTTGGGAGTTCATTTTCTCCACTGACATTTTGATACAACTGTGTTTAGGTGATAAGTATTAAGATTGTCCCACAGAAAAGACAACCTACAAGTGATGGAGGAATGGCTAGTTTTAGGAACTAGACAGCAAAACAAGTACTTTTAGTCAAACAAATGACAAAGTAAAAGAGTAAGCTTGTAAGTTTCCAATCAACAATAAGGAATATTCTGTAATTAGTATCAAACAAGTCAGACAGACGTGGCTCCATTGAGCTCTGTGTGCGTAGTTCAAAGGTCGCTCCCCTTTGTCAAACTGTGTTACATTGTCCCCTGCAGAAAAATTAGCCATTGATAGTGGCTCCAGAGCAGCTAATGTGCTGATAACACATTACATTTGAAGGTTTCAGTGCTTTGAAACACCGGAGGGATGAGGTGTGGGAATCCAATCCATTAGATAAAGCCAACAGTAATAGGTATCCCATATCAAAGGGATATAGTTTAAACTGCAGGGGCTTTGGATGCGCTCATTTTTATTTATTGTTTTAAGAGGAGCTTTATGCACAGGAGGTGATATCAACACACTAACAAAACCCTTTCAACACCATTGGGCTTTGCGTGACATCAAATGTGTCTATTAACCAACCTCTTGACAAGCCAAGGTGATTCATCTCTACTGTGCTGCGTGTGTGTGAGAGAGAGAGAGAAAGAGAGAGAGAGAGATTGGATGTTTTCATTCCAGATTGTAGATAGTGATTTGAATGTAGCCTAACAACAAACCAAACCGAACATTAACTATTTTAACTACCCCTTAGAAGTGATTTTCAAAGTCATTCTTCTTCTTTCAAACTGTTCCCAAAATTCTACTTTTCTTCCCAAGCGGTGCAAAATAAAAACAATAACAACAATAAAAAATAAAATTTTAACACAAAATCCTGAAAGACAAAACCTAATTTCTTCTCTTCAGAAGGATGGACTTGGTACTGGCTTACTACAATAAACTGTTAAGAGTGAATCTCTTTGTGTGTGGCTTTGAGTGTGCTAAAAAAAAAAAGTTAACCGTCATATGCTGACAGCTCACCATATTTTCTGAAGCCTGGCGGCTAAACCCAATGCCATTCTGAAAAACAAGGAGAGGCCCCAGAATCAAAGTCCCCCTTCAGCTCAATCACTCTGGCCGCCTCTCCCAAACACTAATAATCACTTTCCTCCCTTCCTTTTTTCTCCCTTGTGTGAAACATCACATTGCCTTTGATTGGGCTGTTTAAATTATTAGCACACCACCTCGGCAGAGACGGCTGGCAGTGGCGCCAGGGAGAAGGGGAGCGCGAGCCTCCTGCTGAGAGCGCCGAGATGCACGGTGTAGAGATGAGGCTCGGACCCCCCTGTCACATCACAAGAAGATGGCGTCCAATAAACACTCACAATGGCCACATCTCTCCCGCACAGTTTGTCTCGCTTACCTACATGCTTTCACTTAGTATTTGTTCCCTGGAGGCTTGTTTTATGAAGGGGAGTTGGAGGGGGGAGGTTGTTCTGATTTGGAAGATGTCACCTTAATGCGGTTTTGTTTTGTTGTGTGGCTAGTGATACAATGCAAATCTGGGTGCAAGTGTGTTGTTACATCTCCAAAATAAGAATAGTATAAGATTTAATGCCTGTCCACAAAATAGACAGAACAGACCAAAAAATAGAGAAGTAATTTGAGGCTATTGCATTGTTTACGTCTGAGAAATAGGCCCTCCTTGTGCATGATCTGACACTAGACCAAAGTAAATCAGGAGGAAATTTTTCAAGGAGCTGATTCTACCCAGAATCCTTGAATCAAACACTTACTAACACACTGAGTGACAATGCCTTCATACAATAAGAAAAAAAAAGCAGCCTTGATCCTTGGCTACTTGAGAAAGGACATCTCAAAGGGGTGAATTGTGGTGACCGTTGGTATTCAGTAGCCCCAGTTACTTTAGGCACACCGGAAAAATACAAGTTGGCAGACAATTGAAACAAGCAAAATATGGAGTCAATGCCAAAGCCAGATTTTTTTTTTTCACTTTGACGACATAACTTTGGTCTTGATGCCCAGAGTCTTAAATGAATATCATGGAGAGAGACTTTGATGTGACAGTCATTCCCAAGTTAATTTGTCTTCAGTCACAAGTGCTCAGGGCATCCAGTGTGCAATCAGGAAAAAGACAAAGACACAAAAAAAGTTTTCTGAATAATGTTCTCGCTTTGATACGCTGGTTGATCGCTGCCCACACCTAACGGCTAGACTGTAAGTTAAGATCCATGAAGACAATGCATCAGAGCCTGTTCTTATGCAATATCTGCACACTCACCAATCAATTTCTTTACTTTGCTCGTACTCCAGGATTTAGGTCACATGCACACAGACAAAATGTTGTTCAAATAAATGACTGCTGAATAAAAGTTACATCTAAACCTGACAGCATTTTGTCAATGTATCAACTGCCAAAGAAAACATAATATCTGAAAAGCAACTGACACCGCCATTTTCAATTTTTGCTTTTATTGGGTATGTAAATAGCTGTATTTTTGTAAGTGTACACATATTTTAAATACATTTCAAAGTAAAATATTTGAGTGAGAGTATATCAATATTTAGACTACACCTCAGTTAAATAAATAATCAGTATGAAAAATGATTATTGCGTATTTTGCAAGGGATTGCCATGTGTAAAGTCTCATGTTCATCAAAATGTAAAAGCAAATCAGCTATGAGACATGCATCCAGACAGTTACTAAAATGAATGCTACATTACAAAAATCTACTTAAAATTGTCAGATAGAAACAACTTGTTCTCCTATCTCATATATTATTTTTTATCAACTTCATATATTCACTCTTTTATCCTTACCTACCTCTGCAATCCACTGTTTATGTGTTCACAATAGCATGT